CACTTCCTGTTGACGCCCAGACCCTCCTGCACCTCGGGCAGGTTCAGGTAGGTGTCCAGCACCTCAAACTCGGCGTAGCACAGGGGGCCCACGCATGGCTTGCGGATGTCATACACGTTCATGCCCGGGTTGGCTGCGAGCGGCACAGGGGGAGGTGTTCAGGGGGCTGGCATGAATGTGACTGGGGTCCTGGGCCAGGGCAGGTGGACAGGCCCGCTGCCGGTGTTGATCACTTCATGGCAGCTCACATGCCCGCACAGCGATCATCCTGCGACCAGAGAGCCTTGCAAGACAGTCTCGGCTACAAGTCCACCAAGATGTGCCAGCAATCCCGACACCCAGGACGCCCACGAGCCAGCCGCAGGCCGGGACCCCTTCAGCACCTACGCACCCGCCATGAGGGGAACAAAGGTGACGGCCTGGCAGAAGTTGACTGCCAGCAGGCACTCCCACTGCCACTTGAACTGGTCGCACACGCCCAGCGACCAGCGGCACAGGGGGTTGATCTGGGGAGTTGGGAGGGGAGGAGGGGGGGGCAAGTGGGCTGGGGGCAGACACCGGCAGGAGCCCGTCGCAACCAAAAGGTCACACCGCACCCACCAGCCACCCCTTGGAGGTGAGGCACGCACCAGAGACACGTAGCTGTACAGCGTGCGCCCTATCTTCCCGTTGGCGAGCAGGTAGTCTGCGTAGGCGCCATACTGCGTGGGAGGATGGAGCAGGGGCTGCTGAGCGTTGGTTTTGGTTCTGCAAGGCATGCATTCAACCTAGATTATCTGCCCAACAACAGCAGCTCTTATTGCAGGAGCGGCGACTGGCCCTCCTGGCCATAGCAGGCTCTCCCTGGCCTGCCCTCGTTCCCTACTCTCCACCAGCCTGCCTGGATCGCAGGGTTGGTGAGGCCATTGCCGATGGCCAGGCCCTTGAGGGGAAAGGGCGTCGCAACCTCCCCCGATTTGGATGCGCGGAAGAGGCGGCTGGCGACGGCCGGGACGTAGTGGCCTGTGATGGTGACGACTCCGCTGTGAGGCTGACACAGGATGGCAGGAGGAGCAGCAGCGTGGCACTCGCGGTAACAGACAGGGCCCAGGGGACACAGGCGGGTGGTGTATGCCAGCGGAGCACAGCATCTCCATCCCCTCAACACCCTGCCATGCCCTGCAAGAACCGCTCTCCCTCCGCCCACCTGCATAGCTCTCGCCCGTGATGAACAGGTCCTTGCCCGCCAGCTCCGGCCGGACCTCATAGAGGGCGAGGAAGAAGTCCAGCATGTCATTTGACACGCACTTCTCGTCGAAACAGCGGTCGTCGTCCGAGGTGGAGTAGGAAAAGCCGGTGTATAGGGGCTGGTCCACAAAGATCATGTTGGCCGACACGTCCCAGCCATAGGTCGTCTCCTCCACCGTCTGGTTGGGCGAGAGGCGGTAAGGGCCGTTCTCGAAGAAGACGGCCAGCTCGCTGGAGCAACCTGGGCCGCCTGGGGATCAGGCAAGGGGGCAATCAAGGGTTTAAAATCTCATGCGCTTTGGCGCAGTGGCAGGGTGCAACAAAGCCAGTGTTGATGGTACCTAGTGGGAAGCGTCCAGGCAGAATCTGGGTTTTGCATCCCCATCTTCCACAAGATCATCAAGTGGAGGTGACCTGAATGAGGATCGATATAGCATCTCTTCGTGGCAGGTCAAAACATTGCCCCACCACACCCTCGCTGTCCCACACCTACCTGTCATCCACAGAACGAGTGGTGCATTCTCAGGATCCTCCCTGGCCTGAAAGTAGAAAAAGAACATGTGCCCATCCGTTGTTCTGCAGGTGGGGAGATCCTTTGGAGGATGGGGACTCGCAGGGTGCTGTACAGACTCCTGTCACCCTCCCAGGCCCGATCATGAACGTCGCCTGTCCCCACACCTGTTGAGGTCGTAGTAGCCACTGTAGCGTTCAGGCTCCTTCCCGACACCCAGGCCCTTGGTGGGGCGGTCCATCGGTAGCGATATGGGTTGCATGCTCAGACGCTCTGGGTGGGCGGCACGGTATGCCGAGGCAGCCCCAACGCACAGCAGACCGAGGAAGACTACCCTCCCGATCACTCCGTGACGTAGACACAGCCCCGCCATTGGATAAATCTCCGGATCCTACAATGCTCTTATTCGAATTCTATATTTATTGTGCAGACTTGATCCCGAGTTGGGTGATCGCTGTTTTGTTCACATCCATTCATGAGAACCGAGACCCCAGTATTGCATTCCCGCGTAAAAGTCATGCATGGTTGCAAAATTTCCGCGGACCTCTTGCTGTCTCGTGCTCGGTTCCCACAGCCAAACTGAGCCCCCTCGGGACGTACACTCGATTTTTCTGTACATAAACTGTCAGCCGAGCGTCAGGCGCGGTGTCTTTGGACAAAATGAACACACGGAGGGGCGGGCAGGCCCAGAGGGAGCCCGCCCGGGCTCCCAATCCCCCCGCTCCCTTCATTATAAAGACGTAAGCGCCTGGTGTATGTGTGGGAATTTGATCAGTGTAGCATGTCCTCCTGCTCAGGGCTCCTCCCGCCTGGAGGCTGTCCACACCTGACCCTGCTCCTCCACCCTCTGCTCACAAGGTATGAGCTCATCGAGGACCCCTCCACCGACGAGATCATCTCCTGGAACGAGGATGGCACTAGGTGTGTTGGTAGACCGCGAGGCGGGTGTGTTGACGCCTCACTGCCCCTGCGCCTGTGCTGTGCGTATCATGCATGTCCTGTCCCTTCCCGCGCATGCCTCGCCTCCCCCATACTGTGCCCTGTCTGCCCCTCCCTCCTCCTCACCCCGCCCTGCCTCCTTCCGCTGATGCCTCACCCCCCCCTCCCCTCCCACCAGCTTCATCGTGTGGAAGAACGCGGAGTTTGCGCGCGACCTGCTACACCTCCACTTCAAGCACAGCAATTTCTCCAGCTTCGTGCGCCAGCTGAACACCTACGGCTTCCGCAAGGTGGACCCGGACCGCTGGGAGTTTGCCAACGAGCTCTTCCTGCGCGGCCAGCGCCACCTGCTGGGCGGCATCGTCCGGCGCAAGCCCGCCGCTGACGTCGGCCGTCCCGGCGGCAGCGCTCCCGGCCGCGACGCCGGCGCGCTGTCAGCGGTGGAGCTGGGCGCCTACGGCGGCCTGGCCGCGGAGGTGGAGACCCTGCAGCGCGACAAGCGCCTGCTGGTCACCGAGGTCATCCGCCTGCGCCAGGCTCAGGCGGGGACCGAGGCCACGCTGCACGGCCTGCAACACCGCCTGGACGTCACCGAGGCGCGGCAACAGCAGATGGTGGGCTTCCTGGCCAAGGCCATGCACCATCCGGCCCTGGTCCAGCAGTTCATGGGGGGCGCCCCCGCCCTGCAACGCATCGACGACGGGAGGAGTGAGTGCAGTGGTGTGACATCTTTTGGGGTTTATGGAGGGTGGTGTGTGTGTGTGTTGGTCTGTGTGTGTGTCCATCAGCCCAGCCCTGGGGGCTCGGCGGCTGCGAGCCTTGGGTGCGCCCCGGGTTCCCGTGTTGCATCAGACCCGAGCTCGCAATCCTGGCCCCAACACCCCCGGCCCCCCCCCCCCCCCATCACCCCCCAGGGCGCAAGAAGCGGCGGGGCGGGCGCGCGCGGGCGGCGGGCGCCGACTCCGACAGCGAGGGCTCCGTGGAGGACAGCGTGGCGGGGCAGGGCGCCGCCAGCAGCACCTCCACTGCCGGCGCCGACTCCGGGGTCACCGGCGGTGCCCCCCCCGCCACGACCAGCGCATGATCGTGCACGGGGGCGTCGGCGCGGGCGATGCGCCGGGCGAGCCCGGGTCGCTGGCCGAGCTGGCGCAGGCCTTCATGCAGCTGCTGAACACCCAGTCACAGCCCATCGGCCCTCCCCCCCCCTTCGCGCCGCCCGCGCCCGCAGGCGGCGCCGCCTGGCTGCACGACGCTGCCGCGGCCTCGCCGCCGCGAGCGCCGGCGGCGGGGTGGGGCGGCATGCCTGCCATCCCCCTCTCGCCCCCGGGGCCCGCCCACCCGGGCGCGATGGAGGGCCTGCTGGGCGAGGGCGGCGCGCGCGTGGAGGCGCCCAGCCTGGTCACCAGCTCGCCTGTGCTGGGCGACGCGCCCGGCTTCGGGCCCCTGGACGCCGGGCCGGGGCCCACCATCACCGAGGTGGGGCCGGAGCCGCTGGGCGAGCTGCCGGGCCTGGACGGCTTCTCCCTGGACGACTTGGAGTTTGACCACCTCGCCGACGTCGACAGGGTGGGTGAGGGGGTGGGGAAGTGGGGAAGAAGTGGAGTTTGCGCGCTGGGGCTCACGTGAGGAAGCCCGGGACCAGGCTCCAGGATGGTTGCTTCGTGTGGAGGGGTGCCCACCAGCGCAGCAGGTCGGCACATTGGGACCGCGCGCGGCCGGATGATCTCGGTACAACTGACGACCAGGCAACCTCGGGCCTGGGCCAGCATGGACTGGGATCAATGGCCGTCAGCCCCCCGCCGCACCCTCCCCTCCACAGTCGCTCTTGAATGGTGGACCCGGGGCAACCCAGTTCGGAGACCCCTACTGGAATCTGCCGAGTGCTGCAGAGGTCTCCTCCCCTTCCTTCAACATGCCCGACTTTGGCGACCTAGGACCCATCATCAGCGAACCGGCCGACAACTCCTGAGGCCCACGTCGCACCCCTCCTCCCCCCCCCCTCCCCGCCAGTGTACCTTGATGCACCCCTTGAGACCCCTGACCCTGCCCCATGTACTCTTTGATTTGCAGCTGGCTGGCCCCTCCCCGGGGGAAAGCCGCTCGCGCTTCCTTCATTCCTTCAACCAAGTCAGACCACATTAAATCATGCCACAAAAAATTGGACCATTTGGAAGGAACAGCCAACACTGGGGGAGGATGGGTATGGTGCAATCACACCGAGGCCATTGCAAGTAATAGGAGGGGGGGGTAACATGTCTGGAACCATCTCGACACAGCTGAACAGCCCATGCCATCGACCAAAAGTCTGCTCCAGCGATGAGAGTCTGCATCACACCAGCTTGGCGATGTCGTCGGCGATGGCGCCGGGCGTGGTGGTGCTGCCATAGCGCTTCACCACCTTGCCCTCCTTGTCGACGAGGAACTTGGTGAAGTCTGCGGACGTCGGAAATTTGGCCGGGGGGAGGACATTATGCAACTGGATGGAGGCAAGTCGTCAGCCACAGCTGCCACTAGCACAATAAAGCCATCACATCCGTTTACCCACGGGATGTTCAGCATGAACTCATTTTCTTGCAGCAGCCATGTTCCAGAATGCACAGCCAAAACTCACTCCACTTGATTCCGTCCACCAGGAAACCGCCCTTCTCGCCCTTGAGCCACTTCCACAAAGGGTCAGCTGTCGGGTGTGCAGCAAGAGATTGAGATCAGAAGCTGACTAGAATACTGGGAGGATAGACGGTACACCAGAACAGACTCCCCGCCCATCTCACTGGGAAGCCACTGGCCCAAATATGCTCCCACCACAGATCAGGCCCACACAACCCACCATCGCTGCCGTTCACATTGATCTTGGCAAACAGGGGGAAGTTGGCCCCCTTGCTCTTGGCAAAGGCCTTGATCTCCTCGGCGGTACCGGGCTCCTGCTTCCCAAACTGGTTGCAGGGGAAGGCGAGGACCTCGAAACCCTTGCTGTTGAACTTGCTCTGCAGCTCCACCAGCTCAAGGTACTGGGGCGTGAAACCGCACTGCGTGGGGAGCCGAGATTATATACGTTTGATTCAAGACATGCTGAGTGAGATCCGGGCGATCAGCCACCTACAGGCAGCTGGACGGAGGACGGCGGCCAACCCCCCCAGAGAACACTCACCATCAAGACCCTAAACAAAACCACACCTGTGAGGCAACGTTCACGATCAGCAGGACCTTGTTCTTGTAGCGGTTCAGAGGGACGTTCTGGCCATCGATGCTCTGCAGGTTGAAAAGGGCCGGGGGCCATGGTCGCAAAAGGGGTAGACCGTGGAAACCCTGCTTCCAGGCAAGTTCCAGCCCACCTCCCAGCTCCCGACCCCGCCGCACCGTCACGGAGAAATCGTACACGGTTCCAGGCATGGTGCCGACTGCTGCACGCACGGAGGTGGTGAAGGCTCTCGAAGGCCTGGCACGGGTGAAGGCCGGGGCGCTGAGTCTTGCGGCGAAGGCGGGCTTCTGGACGAGCCGGGAGCAGCTTTGCATGTGCGAGACTGCGGAGACGGAGGTCGATTTGGTGCCCAGGCAGGAGGCTGCGACTCTGGAGGCCATGACTGGGCTGGGTGGTGTCTCTGTCAGCAGGACGTGAGAGGTTTACGTTGCGGTGATCGTGGGTTTTGATATAGGCGCCCCATCTCCGAGTGTGAGGTGGACAGGTGCTGCCCGTGCATCCAAGATCCCCTGCGATTCTCTCGTTGCAAATTTGGGTGAAGTGAAGGAAGCTGTGCCACAAGGGAACTTTCAAGTCACAGTCAGAGGCTAGATTGGTGATCTGTCAACTTACAACATGGGTGGTGAGGGGTCTGGCATCGTCAATGATCGCGGTGAGGAGGGCTGTGGGAAGAGGGGGCTGGTCCGGGGTCATGTCTGTCAGGGTACGTGGGGAGGCATGCGATGGCTTGCGCATCGGGTCAAAGTCGTCTTTCCGCCCCCTCAACCTGCAGGCGTCAGGGGCGGCCGGGTACCGCGGCATTCGCGTCGGCGACCTGGCGGAGGTACTGCTTGGCGGCCTGGACCTGCTGCCGCACCGTCGCCAAGGGGTCGTCCGCGTCGGAAACCCTCGTCCCCAGTCGGAGCTCCTCCCCGGCTGGGGGCCTCTTGTGGTGGACCCCGGGGATGTCGCGGCCCAGCGGACCGCGCCCGCCGCCGGGCATCGGCCGGTCTGCCCGCCGCCCCCTGCCCTCGTCGCCCCACTCCGGTGGGTGGTGTACGGCGCGGATGCGGCCCTGCGATGTGTGGAGATGAGGTGTGCACAAGGCTTGAGGAGCTGGGTGGGACGCAAGGGAGCTGGTGCCGGGGGGCGGAGATGTGAGACGGGAGCCCTGGCCCTGGAACTGTTGGACATGCGTCGGACACGGCACGCCACCCGAGCCGTTCCCTCAAGCCACCTCCTCCCACCTCCCGGTGCCCGGGCGGCGAGGCGGCACGCGCGGCGCCCCGCCGCTGCGCTGGCCCGTCGTGGAGCGCATCGAACACGTCGCCGTCGCCTTCATCGTCGAATCGGCCCTGCGCCGCGCCGCCCCGCCTCCCCCCGGGCGGCCCCCGGGGACCCGCACCCCGCAGTCGGTCCAGCTGCATGCGCGCCAGGTCCAGCTGGCGCGCAGCGGACTGGCGCGCCGCCTCGGTGCGCTCTAGCGCGGCGCGTGCCTTGTTGGCCTCGGCCTTTGGGGAGGAAGGGGGAGTGGGGCAGAGGGTGGGAGGCCGGCGCTGGATTCACACGCGGGCGGGCGCATGGGGCGACTGCCGAGTCGATCACGCAACCACCGCACCCCGTCACCTGGTACTGGCGCGCCGCGCGCTCCGCCTCCCCCCTCGCCTCGGCCTCCTTCCCGGCCAGCAGCTGGGCATGCAGCGCCCGCTCCTGGTCCAGCTGGGCGGCGGTGCTGGAGGCCAGCTCCTCCGCGGCCGCGGCCTGGGTTGGCAGGGGGTTGCGGGGGAGCGCTGTAGCTTTGGCAGGGCACGATGCAGTTGTGTGCTGAGGACTCCAGGCACCAGGCCAGTGCGGCCCGGCCCAGCTGCCCTTGGCACCAGTTTGCCACCCCATCCCCCCTTGATCCCTCTCTATCGCTGCCATGCATTCTCCACCCCCGGTTCCCTCCACCTACAACGCCTTCCTCCCCCCAGCCACCCACCCCAGCCACCCACCCTGGAGACGGCCAGCGCCACGTCGCGGGCCAGCTCCTCGGCCCGCGCCGCCTCCTCGCGCGCCGCCCTTTCCAGGTCCGCGCGGTCCAGGGCCCAGGCCTGCGCGTCGCGGCGGCAGCCTTCCAGCGACAGCCGCGCCGTGTCCAGCAGCGCCTGGGCGGCGGCGGCGGCGGAGCGCGCGCGCTCCGCCTCCAGCGCCGCGGCTGCGCTTTCCTCCCGGTGCCGCGCGGCCTCGGCCTCCAGGCGTGCGCAGCGCTCGCGCAGGCACGCGCCCGCCTCGGCCTCGTCGCGCAGCGCGGCCTCGGCGGCGGCGACGCGCTGCGCGCGCTGCGCGTCGCCGGAGGCCAGCGCCTCGTACCGCCGCTCCAGCGACCCCAGCGTGCCCAGCGCAGACTCGAAGCGTGCGACCACGGCGGCCAGGCCCCGCTCCCGCTCCGCGCCTTCCTCCTCGCTGGCGCGCAGGCGGGCGCGCAGGTCCTCGGCCTCGCGCGCGCGCGCCTCGGCAGCCGCCAGGTTGGAGGCCTGGGCCCGGGCCTGCGCGTCGCGCTCGGCCAGCGCGCGCCGCGCCTCCGCCAGCGCCTGGGATGTGTGTGCGGGGGGATTGGGAGTGAAGGTAGGGGGTGGCTGGCGGATTTGGGTGGCGCAGCCGAGGCGCTCGCCCCCATTCCCAGCCTCGTGCTGGAAGCGTCCTGCCACCCACCGAGGCGCTGCTGGAGGCCTCGCTGCGCAGCGTGGCCACCTGGGACTCCAGCTTCGCCAGCTCAGCGTCCCGATCGTGCAAGAGCTGTAGGGGGTGTGGTGTCCAGAGGGTCACTGCGACCCTCGAAGGCGCACATGCAAAACTAGCCCCCCAACAGCAGAACCCATGCGCGCCGACATCACGTCACCCACGCATGCATACCTTCAGGTTGTACTTGAAGTCGCTCGTGATCTGGTCCATCTGCTGTCGGAGCAGCTGAGCCTCGGGGTCAGGCACGGTGCTCATCGATGGGGCTGACGGCTGCATGGCGACATAGTGTGAGGAGGGTGGGGAGGGGGGATCAGGTGAGTCAGATCCAAACACAGGCAGACATTTCTCATCTTGCCTCAGGCTAGATGGCACACACTATCGGAACCTGCAGACAATGCCAAGAACGAGCCATCCATTAAGGATGCTACCACCCACGACACTGACGAACAGTGCACAACGCACTCTGAAGGCAGAGAGTCCGAAAGCCGGCGTCCGCTTCTCAGCCTGTTGTGGCGGTGTGAATTGATGGGATCTTGATGCAAGGCGCGGCGATCAGGATGAATTGCGGCATGCCGTCGCACACCCCATTCCCCAGTCCTCGACCACACTCCCAGTACCTCGAGCTGGCGAGAGAGGCTGCGCAGAGTGCTTCCAGGCGTGGCGTATTTGGACGCGGATTCCATCCCAGGATCCTCGCCGTCTTGTTCCCAACGCTCGTCCCAGTTTGTCGGGTCTGTGCCGGCTGCAAGCGGTTGTCCGCAGCGAGCGAGTCACAGGTCCCAGCCGGGACCCCACGGAGCGAGTATCGCAGTCATGAAGCACCGATATCGGCCAAGTATGAAGAGGGCGCACTCCATCCGGCATCCTGACGGTGACGGTACGTGCTACCTGTTCCCAAGTCAGCGACGTCCCGGTGGTTGGGTTCAAATGCAGGAGCTCGCAGCACGCACCGCAGCAAACTTCCGCCCGGTCCAGGTCGAGGACGAGATGCAGGGGCAGATTTTGACCGGGTCCCCCGATCGCCAGGGAGTCAAGTGCCTGCCGTAGCGCTATCCGACCTCCTTGCCTTGCAAGAATCTGAAACCTTGTGGGCTTGCCAGTGGCCATGCCGGGTGCAGTGATGGAGGAGTCCGATCACAACCTGTACAACCTTCTCGGTCTGGGACCCAAGGCAAAGGATACCGAGGTGGGATCATTGATGTTGCTTATGCTAACATTGGAATCCTTGCGTCTCTGTGACGAGTGAACCTCCCTCGGTGGGACAACTCTACCCACCCTCGGCGTTCAAACATGCTGCACCACGTCAACCCTTGCAGATCCGTCGGGCCTTCCGAAACCTGGTCACAAGGGCCCATCCTGACAAGGGGGGAGATGCTGCGCGTTTCAGGCTGATTCAGCAGGCTTACGAGGTCCTTTCTGACCCAAACAAGGTGCGACCGAGCAGGCCAGCCAGCAGCTGGGCACCCTGCAGGTCAACTCATTCCGCAACCCCGACGGTCGTACGCAGACCTGCCAGCCTGCTCCGTTACTCACATATTCCTCTGTCATCCCACCATGTGCAGCGGTCCCACTATGATCAGACTGGCAAGATCATCAAGACGGCCGAGGAGGAGTTCATGGACAGCTTTGCGGGGGGTGCGGGGGTGGCTCTGGTGGTATGGGCAGAGCACTTGTTTTTCGTCATGGAAATCGCTTGCCGTAGGCAAGGTTCCTAGACCTGTCTTGCGCTCCTGGGGTCTCCTCGTGGCATACGTGCATACCCCAAGAGCCCAATACCCCAACTCCCTGGACCACCCTGGGGCTTGGCTCCCTTGACTGAGGCTGCCCTTTTCCCTGTTCAATGCTCGGTGGCCTCCACAGGAGTAGCCACGCACCATGTACCAACTGCGCAGCAGCCACATGCCTCAAATACTCTTCCCCCCTCCCCACGGTCAGGCAACTATCGGGACAAGGTGCGTGCCGCCGAGACCTCGGAGGCCAGCAACATCTCGGAGCAGATCACGGTGCGCCAGTCCAAGGAGGCCGGCAGCCACGGCGCCGGCTTCGAGGCCTGGATGCGCGGGCGCGGCAGCGGCGGGGTGCAGGTCTTCACCGCCGACGACGTCATCGACCAGTTTGGCGTGGTGAAGGGTTCGTACGACGCGGTGCCCCTGCCCAGGATCAAGGCCCACGCTGTGCGCTGCTCCGGCGCCGGCAGGCCGCGCGAGGTGCTGGGCGTGGAGGCCGAGGAGCTGCCTGCCGAGCTGGAGTGGGGCCAGGTCCTCGTCAGCATACGCTACGCGGCGGTTAACCCGGCCGACCTCTACACTGTGGCCACGGGCGGGACCTACGGCCAGGAGCACGTGTCCGTCCCCTTTGTACCCGGGCACGACGCCGTCGGGGTCATCGTCAAGGCAAGAGAGGGGGTGGGGGTGTTTTGGGGGGATCCTGCGGGCGGCAGGGGTTTGAGTGGCGCCGGGATTCAATCGTCTGGAGGCTTTCACCGTGCAGGGGGCTGCCTCCCAAAGGAACCTCTGCATCCCTAGTGGCCTTGGCAGAACCCTCACTTCCATGCATGCATGGGCTAAGAGCCTCCGTCTTGGCTACCCAGGCGGCCTCGCAGGTGCACGAGTGTCTTGTGCCCGCCTGCTCACCCCCTTCCTCCCTCTCCTTCACCCATTCTTCCAGACCGGACCTGGCGTGAAGGGCCTGCACGAGAACGACTGGGTGGTCCCCCTGAAGCCCTTCCTGGGCACCTGGCGCTCGCTGCTGGTGGCGGCGGAGAAGGATCTGCTCCGCCTGGCGCCCGACGCCATGCCCATGGAGCAGTGCGCGGTGCTGCGGGAGACGCTGACCGCGTACCGCCTGCTGGAGGATGCGCCGGGTCTCAAGGTGGGCGGGAGGCGCTGGTGGGGATGGAAGATGGCTGGGGCTGGGCGTGGAGGTGAAGGGGCCTGCCCTTTGGCTGGGACCCTAGTCGTGCGTCAGGCTGGCACTCAATTGGTCCATGAAGTGTGCACTTTGCCGCAGGCATGATTTCCAGTTCCTTTCCGATCCCGCGCAGTGTATGGCATGCCCCTCCCAGAGCACTTGGATTCCTCACGCCCTGTCAACTCCCCCCTCCCCCCCCCGCAGCCCGGCGACTGCGTGGCCCTGAACGCGGCCAATTCCGCCGTGGGCCAGATGGTTCTCCAGCTGGCAAGCCTGCTCCGCCTCAGGACGGTGGCCGTCGTCTCCGACGACGCGGGCGGCGACTTTGACAAGACCGCGGACTGGCTGAAGTCCCTGGGCGCCTCGGTGGTCCTGCCCGACCGCGGCAACCTGAAGGTGGGGCGGGTGCATGCCGGCGGCTGTGACGCGGGTCGCAGCAATTGCCGCTGCCTGCAGCACTGTGTCTGGCTGCACACGGCCCAGGCGGTAGGCTGCCTGAGAAGGTGTGCCGCGACCCTTGGCAGCCTTCGACATCTGGCAGACGCGCACGTCACCATTTGGGTACAGTCATTGCACTGTGCACCATGCTGCCCGGAGCTTTCCACCTCTGGTGTTGCTGTACACAAGTTGTATGAAGCTCAACACCCCCCACCCATGAATCCACACCAGGCCGAGCTGGACAAGCTCAAGTTCTTCGCCAAGCCAAAGCTGGCCCTGGATGCGGTGGGGGGACTGAGCTCCACCCGCCTCTCAGACATGCTGGCGGAGGGGGGCCAGCTGGTGGTGTACGGCTGCATGTCCGGCAAGTCTCCCACCTGGACCTGGCACTCCTGGGTGTTCCAGGGCATCCAGGTGACTGGGAAGGGCTGGGTGGAGTATCTGGAAAGGGCGACTGGCTGCTGCACGGCAATTGCTCGTGGCTTGTCCGAGGCAGAGGATGTTGTGAGAGGATCGGCACACAGCTCATCATAGCGTATCACGCGGAGGAACAGGCAGCTTGGCTCCAAGCTCCTCTGACCGAGGCGCGCCCAAGCACATCATCGCATGTCCCCTCTCACTGGCCACAAACCCCCGCTCTTCAAACGCAACCAGGTGCGGGGCTTCAACATCCGGCGCTGGGTGCAGGAGCACCGCAAGCGGGTCCCTGTCTTGCTGGAAAGCATCGCCAAGCTGGTGAACGCGGGCAAACTCACAGCCGCCTACACCGAGTGAGTTTGGAAGGGCATGGAGGGGGAGGGCAGGGGCCGCAGGCGTCGCATCCAGGACCTGGGCGCCGCAGACCTGCGCTGCGCTGGGTGCCAAGGCATGGCTGCCGGGCCTCGCCTGGCGCTCCCGAGCCCATGCTCTGGCCCTGCCTCCCACATCGTCATCGCAGGTACGAGCTCGCCACCGAGTTTGGCGAGGCGCTGGAGCACGCGCTGGAAAGGGGGAAGAACACCAAGGTCCTGCTCAAGGTGTCGGACGTCGGTGTGCAGTACTGAGCTGGCGGCGTGGTACCAGGCATGCAGACCTGCGGTGTCCAGGCAGGGCTGGCTGGGGGCGAGGACCCTGGTGGCTGGGAAGTTTTGTTGTCGCAGCAGGTGCTCCCTGGTAGTTGCCCCTCGCATTCTCTGCCCCGAGTGCCCTGCCCTGACGGATTCAGCCAATATCTATGGGGGTGCTTGTCAACCATGGCATGGTGCGGACAAGGGGATGTCTGAAATAATTCAACAGTATCCAGCTGCTGCAAAGCAAACAGGCACAGGAGGGATTGCTTTTCAACACTGAAACCTGCGCTGGCAGGCACTGCAAGTCCTGCTATACTCCCAACCAGCTTGGAGCTGCGGGGTCTCCCCAACAAAGGCGGGCATGCAATGGCCTGCCGGCGCCCTGCCCGCTTCCACCCCTTCCTGGTGCCGATTACCCTTCAAGCCACCCGGGGACTGGGGAGCTGCAGCTCGGTGGTCAGGATCTGCTGCACCTCCTGCATGGAGGCCGCGTAGAAGTGGGGCCGCAGGTCCCCTTCCAGGCCCTGGCCGCGCTCCCTGTGCGTCCCCTCGGTGTCCAGGAGGATAGTCCACGCGCCCGCACGATTCCCACTCACGACCTGCATGAGGAGCGGGTGGGGACGTGCAGGGTGGTGCACGATGGTGTGGGGCCAGGTGCCGGGCCCTGCAGTGTAGGATCCTGGTCCCCTCCCCCATGACATGCAACCCCCTTTGGCAGACAGGATGACCGTCAACAGAGCTCCACCGCGCACGTCATCCTTGGCGCTGTCTCCCACCATGACCAGCTCCTGCGGCGTGATGCCCCAGTGCTCTGCAATGTGCAGCAGCGCCGCCGGGTGAGGCTGCATGATGTTGGAAAGGGGGGAGAATGAGTGTGGCTGGGGAACAATCACACGCATGGGAAGGGGGCCTCGGGAGGCAATGGCTGGAGCACGAGCGCAGCACTGCGGTCACAGCATGCATGATCAACCCCACAACCGCTGCTGCCGACGTGGACTGGGAGCAATAGCTTGCTGCCGGGTCACCTCCGCTCCCCTGCCATGTCGGTCTGCACCTTGTATGGCAGGAACTCCCGCGTGAGCACGGGCTCGAAGGGGGGCAGGTCAAAGTGCGTGGCATGGAACAGGTCCACGGCACGTTTCAAATTCCTCGTCACGAGTGCCCTGTGTGTTGGTGGTAAGAGGGCTGCTTCATCACCGCAGGCCTTGTGCGTGCGAGACGGAAGGTGTGCCCTGCACACCGCCATGAGCAGCTGCCGAATTCCGCCGTCCAGCACGCAATGGGTCGGTCACCTCTTCCCGCCCAGCCGCCGAGCGTGGCCGTCCCCCACCCCACCCGGCCCACCTGGGCACAGCTCGCTCGTCCAGGTGCTTGGCCAGCTCCTCGACCCCGGGCATGACCTGCATGGCCGCCATGCCCTCCTCCTCCACTGCGTGCAGCGCCGCCTCACGCTGCGCACGCTCTGCCGGCTCGAGCCCGGCCAGGAAGTCCAGCACGTCCTGTCCCTCGGGCACCCCCACCACCCGCCGCATCTTGGGGAAGTCCAGGACGGGGACGGTGAGGGTGCCGTCCACTTTGAACAGGGATGTATTCAGGGTACGGAGGGGGTAAGGGCGCGAGAATGGCTGCCCTGGGACTCTGAAGCAGTGTGCCCAGGGAGCACCCCATGCACCCGTGCATCGCAGCACGTGAGCGTGCCGATAACGACACCGTATACACCCCAATGAGTTCGTCGCTCTTCCTCACGCCTCACGCACTGTCTGCATGGTGGGTCACATGGAGCGGGAGTCGGTCGCCTTGTGGCTCGGCACACCGACAGCACCCCATGCACATTGGGCGATCTCGCGGTACGCACCAAACACGATGCCCCTCACGGCCTTGGACTCCGGCCCTGGACGTAGTGTGCGGAGCATGGCCATGCTGCGGCGCATGGGTGGGTGGGTGCGGCTGTCTGGTCGAGAGGGAGGACCGGCCTGTGCCACACACGCTCCTCTCATGCGGATGGGCCCGAGCCCCTAGAGCCGGAAATCTCGAGATGGACTGCGACAATATCCTTGGAGGACAACACAACAACACATTGTCCTGTGATGCGAGTTTGATGTGGGCCACCTGATTGATTGGTTCAGAGGTTCACCAGCTGGCAACGCATCACGCATGCGGTCCCTCGCCGCGGCGTTCCGAAGTGAGCATAATTCGGCCAACGACGAAAGTATACATGGATCATATGCGAATTTGGGATCCTTGGGTACGCTGCATCAACCACCGTGGTCTGACAGAGTGATTACCGGTATGACAAGCAACGCGGTGTCCCCTCGCAAGGGGGCCCACCACCCCGGTGATCTGATATCTCCACCCTCCCATATGTATGTGTCTTGTTCCACGGCATGAATAAGTGTCTCGGAGCCAGCTCTGCTACCCTGAGAGTCCCACTGAGTCGTTCAGTGGTCTACCAAACACACGACTCCCCACTGTGGGCGACATCCATCACAGCTCGTAGAATGTACTGGCCAATTTATAAATCCTACGCGGTTAAAGCAATGTTTCAATGGTCACGGGCGTCACCCCCGTGCATGGAGGTCACCCGGATGCATGCGCCCGGCCACAAACAGGTGTCACTGGCGGGCAGGGGGAAGAAAGATTCTGGGTACGGATTGTCAGGTAATTCTCTGCAGGGGCAGAAGGGCTCGGATCTCTCGCATTTAAACGTGTGTACGAACATTTGCATTCGTTTGAGCCTCCCAGACACTAGCCGTGCGGCTTTCGACTTGCAACCGGTGGCCGAGGTGGCAGTTGAGGACGTGCAATGGCCCGCTTCGGCCCCTCTACCGGAGTGGAGAAGGTGAGACCGTGATCTGTCTCGCGGCAGCACAGCGCTAGGTTTGTGGCGTGGAGTACATCACTGCGCCCCCCTCTCGCGACCCGCCGCAGCTCACGGCGGAGCTTCAAAAGAGGAGTCGGCAGCTGGACAACCTGGAGAACAGCCTCCTCACCACGAGCTCGGAACTGAAGAAGCTCAAGGAGAATCATGCCGAAACCCTAAAGGTAGGGTTTTTGGAGGCCAGTACAGCTACGGAGTGCGCCTCCCAGTGGTTCTTCAGAGGCGAGGCAGCCCCTTGCTCTTTCAGGGACGGGGGTGCTGGGGCCTTGCCTACGGCCCGTGCAGCAAGGGTGCCCTTGCTCGTGGCCCTGGACGCAACACAAAACCGTTGCGATGGCAGAGCATAGTGTATTCCCCCCGCCCCACCTCGCCCCTCATCCCCAGCCCTAAATGCTTGCCCTCCCCCCCACCCCTTTCCCCCACCCCAACACACACACACACAGACGCTGAGGGCCAAGGAGGCGGCCCTGACCTCCCTGCAGACTCAGCATGAGGCGCTCAGCCGGGCGGCCCGCCAGCGCGGCCTGGCCCTGGACATGCTTTCCTCCCAGCGCGGCGGCGTGGTGGCCTCCGGCCCCTCCCTGCCCCGCCTCACCCCCCAGGGCCCGCTCAGCCGCTCCGTGTCCAGCGAGGCCAGCGACGGCGAGAGCCCCGTGACGCTGCGCGCCGAGCTGGCGGCCCGCGACCGCCAGCTGGAGGAGCTACGCGGCGAGCTGGAGCGCGCGCGGCGCGAGACTGCGCCGGCGCCTGCGCAGGGCCGGCGCGCGGTGCCCGCCCCGATCCCCGGCGCAGCGCCGTCTGCGGCGCTGGCGGCGGAGGCCGCCACCTGGCGCACGCGCGCCGAGGCGGTGCAGCTGGAGCTGCGCAGTGCCACCGCGCGCCTGGAGGCGCGCGACGCGGCGCTGGTGGCAGCAGAGGCCGCGGCGGGGCGCGCGCGCGCCGAGGCGCACCGCGCCTCCGAGGAGGCCGCGTCGCTGCGCAGCCAGCTGGAGGGCGTGCGCGCGCTGGGCGGACAGGCCGCGGCCGACCTGCGCGGCGCGCTGCTCCGCCGCGACTCCGACCTGGCGGCCGCCGTGGCTGACGGTGAGCGCGCGGGGGACGAGCTGGAGGGCATGCGCGCCGCGCTGGCGGCCGCCTCCCGCGACCGCGAGGCGCGCGAGCTGGCCGCCGCCAACGCGGCCGCCGCGCAGGAGCGCCTTGCAGCGGAGGTCGCGGAGCGCAGCGCCGCGCTGCGCGACCTGCGCGCCGAGCTGGAGCGGCAGGCGGCCGAGGTCGCCGAGGCACGGGCGGAGGGGCGGCGCGCGGCCGATGGCCAGCGCGCCGCCGAGGCACTCATTGGCGGGCTGCGGGAGCGGGTGGAGGCCGCGGGACGCGAGCTGGAGGCCTCGCAGGCCGAGGCGCGGGCGGTGACGGGGCGGCTGGGCGTGGCGCGGGAGGAGGCAGAAGGCGCAGCGCGCGAGGCCGCCGCGTTCCGCGAGGCGCGAGACGCGGCGCTGAGCACGACCGCCGCGCTGCGCCGCTCGCTGGAGGGCGTGCAGGCGGAGGCGGAGCGCGCCGCCGACCGCCTGGCGGAGCTGGGCGCCGAGCTGGAGGTGGCACGCGGCGCGGCGGCGGCGGCCGAGGCCGCGCGCGACGAGGCGCGGCGCGTGGCCGCCGTCGCGCGCACGG